AACCCAGTTTTTCATAAAACCCATGTTTCCATGCAAACTCATCTGTCTATCTATTTTATCCATAATACAACCACATGTTTCATGGTGAACGTAATTTGTACAACATATAATATAATTTATGATACTGAGCTAAAATTACCTTAAGTTTGTTTTTTACATCTTTACCGTGCTGTATAAAATGACCACTGGGGTAAAATGTTTCAGTCGATTTCTTTTCTACGCACATACAAACAGTATCAGGCAGCTGGGAAATAAATGTTTGGTTGACCAATATAACGTCTTATGTGTTTACTTGGAGTAATGTCTCGAACTTCAGTTTAGGAAAACAATAATGACAATATAGAGTTTATTTTTGTTGTTCTCGTGACAATTTCTTCAATCCTCTATTTTTAGCGAAACGTGTTTGTCATTTTGGGTAAACAAAAATGCTATTTTCGACTTCTTGAAAACTACCATCTCAATTGCTTTGATATGTTGGTGAACCACTATCAGATTTGTTCATTTCTTGGCGATATCATTAATTCCGCAATTTGAGCAAATATTTTTGTCATTTTTTGAAAATGCCATTATTGACTACTCCAATTGCTTTTTGATACTTGATATATGTGTACCCTGGATGATTCCTTTTGTGACATTAGAGAACACTGTACTAATTCACAGACTTATCCTTCAATCGGAGTTGATGAATATGCTGGAAAAATAATGCATGGGTTTTATGGGTTAAAGTCCTTTCTACGGTTGTTCACTGAGAAGATTCTCGCGTTCAACCCCAGATATTTGTTATTCTATTATAATTTGCGAGTCTAAACATGTTTTTCGTTATTACATTTCTTACCCAAATCTACAAACTGTGTAAATATGATTTTTCAGCATTTTATTGGAATGATTGTCGCGGGACAAAGTATTGAGATGACTTGTGTTTGGCATTAAAACCACTTTAAAAATTCAACTACAAATATTGCCTCAGATGGCGAGAATGGAATCATCTTTGTTTTACATTCATATGTTTTGATTTCTACCAACAGGTACGAAATTAAAACCATTTCAAAACTTTACTACAGAAAATATATCAGAAAAACTAATAGTTCATAGGCTCACGTGGCAGCAGTAAATGTTCTGTATTCAGGTGTTTTGATTTCCACCGGTTGAGGCGCTAGCATCATTTTCCTGACAAATTAACCGATAAAAATATGGCATTTAAACCACTTAATATATAAATTGTGTCTGTAAAAATAAATTTGGTTGGTTCATATAGGCCTGTATTTGACTGCTAAAGATATCAGCCCCTCCCCTCTCGCCTACAGACATTGTTCATTTGTTTCAATGTTTCCAAATGAATGGTGGGAGATTGTACAAATCATTGTGCGCATGCGTGAGTCGTTCTCTTTCCTGTGGCCGCCATATTAGATATTGGCAGGTAATGTTGTTGTCATTTTCATCTGCAATTTTCTTTGCCATCTTCCGTTAATTACAAGTACTAATATAATAAAATGAATCTCATTGGTGTTTTTTATATGGATGTGTTATAATTTGTGTAAATTTAAAGTTAGTTATTTAGTAATTGACAGTTTATTTACGCATGGTACCCATGTCGTATGTCCTACTACTAGTATGAGAACCGGTATTGTATCGAAATAGATAGTCCCGATTTGTGTGTTAATAAGGGTCTTGCGAAAGCGGTGACACACGATTTAAATAGTTCTCTGGCGTCACTATTTTCCACAGTCCCGCCAGTGGTCCTGGCAAGTTCCGGTTTTGTGATTGTTGTAATCAATAATGTAATTGTTGTATGTACATTCAGGCCTCACTATTTACAAGAAAATGAAACTGCATCTCCAAGTTAATAACCGAACATTGTAGCGGATTAAACTATGTCTTCCCGAGTACAGTTATAGAATTTATGTTTGCTATAGAATTTACCTCCTCTCCAAACAAATGGTTTCCAGGTTTATTACCGTCATCATTTTGTCGAACACCAAAAACTGCAACATTGCCAGTTAAGTGTTGGACCGGTGAACTCGATGGTAGACTTCAAACTAATAGTAAGGGAATCATATAACTGGAAGATGCAATAACCATTCAATTCATCTTATCATATCATAATTATGTAGCCAGCAAAGCCTGGCGAGCTAGCACAGCAGAGAATTTTACGATTTATTAAAAATAGAACAGACGTAACCATAGAACGTCCCAACGTGTGAACAGAATTCAAGATGGCGCAATGCATAATTCGTGTGTTGTCGCTAATGAAAACGATCAAAAACACTTTTCAAATTTGAACTATTTTATGTTCGTTGCCAGAAAATAAGTACGTTTTATCGTGAAAAAGTTTTTGTGCCACGCATATACAACAAACAAAGTAGTGGCACCCATTGACTGAAAGTACACCATTTTTAACTCGTGAGGTATATAGAATTCTTCCATACTTTTCTATATATACCCGTTATCTCTAGAGCATGCCTCAGGAGTGGCCACTCTTGCTGCTCTCACTATAAATTTCTGTATCGCAAGTCATAAACTAGTCACTTGTGCCATAACACAAGTAAATGCGTGGATTAAGCTAAACTTGGCACCCTTGTAACAATGGTTCAATCTAACAGTCAGCAGCTTAGCTGGCAATGTTGCCAACTTTTGGCCGTAATACCATTTGCTGCTGTATTTATTACAAGCGAGATTTATAGTACCATTACTTTTCCTTGTTAATGATAATTTTGATTTTCATTTTAGGATGTTGATGCCAAAGAAGAACCGTATTGCCATTTATGAATACCTTTTTAAAGAAGGTGTCATGGTGGCAAAAAAAGATTTTCATCTTCCCAAACATCCTGAAGTTGATGTGCCTAATTTGCATGTTATCAAAGGAATGACGGTCAGTTGTGATATCTTCTACTTATTAGTTTTAATCCGTGATTATCTTTTTATGAATGTAGTCAGTTGATCTGTTCTGAGGTTTGAAAATCCTGTCTTGCATAGTTCTGAAAATAAAACAATGGTAGAAATAATTCTTTGTATACAAATAATGACAGAAAGTCACTTGGCTACCTCCTTGCCTAATAATGGGAGTACAACGTGCGTGTTCATTAGCTGCTCTGAGGAGTTCATAGGATTATGCAAAATCCTTCTTAAATTAATTTACCAAACGAAGTAATATACTCTATACAGACAGCTTTTTGGTGACGTGTATGCCCTTCTATCAAAAATAATTTTATGATAAATCTTCTTATTCAAAACAGTTTTTATAAATGTTTATATAAATACTTGTTCTCTCCCTGGTTTCAAATGTGTGATATTAAGATTTATATGATTAGAGTATGCAGCTTTCATAATCAAGAACTCTTGCTTATCCGTCCGTCCGTCCGGAGTCATATCTCAGAATCCCTTGGACCGATTCCGTTCATTCTTTGCA